TGGCGGTTGTGTGGGGGGATTCGCTGGGGGGGGGGGGGGGGGGGGGTTGGAAATTCCCGGTTTCTGCAGTGAATTCCCGGGATTCCTTTTCCAGAGGATTTTTTCCCGGCCGCGTCCCCCTGGATCCCGGCCCTGGTGCTGCTCCTCACCCTGGGGCTGTTCCTGCTGCTGGCGGCCGCGTTCCGACTGCGCCGTGAGCCACAAAAATTCCCAAAACATCCCCAAAACATTCCCAAAACATTCCCCAAAATTTCCCCCAAAATTAAAAAAAAATTCCCCCAAAAATTTCCCCAAAAAATTCTCCAAAAAATCCCCCCAAGTTCCCCAAAAATTAATTCGCAAAAAATTCCCAAAAATTTCCCCAAAACTCCCCCCAAAATCCTTAAAAATTCCTAAAATATTAATTCCCAAAAAATTCCCAAAAATCCCCCAAAATCCCCCAAAATTCTCAAAAAAATTCCCAAAAAATTCCCAAAAAATTAATTCCCAAAAAATTAATTCCCAAAAAAATCCCCAAAAATTCCCAAAAAATTCCACAAAAAATTCCCCAAAAAATCCCCCAAAATTCCCCCCCAAAAATTCCCCAGAATTCCCCAAAATTCCAAAAAAATTCCCCAAACATTCCCCAAAAATTCTCCAAAAATTACCCAAAAACTTCCCAAAAACATTCCCAAAAATTTCCCCCCAAAAATTCCCCCAAAATTCCCCAAAAATTAATTCCCCAAAAACTTCCCAAAAAATTCCACAAAAATTTCCTAAAAATTTCCCCTAAAATTCCCAAAAAATTCCCCCAAAATTCCCAGGAAAATTCCCCCAGACCCATTCATTATCCATTCAACACCCAATAATTACCCATTGATTAACAATTAATGAGCAATTCATAAACCATCATTTACCCAATTTTTACCCATTACTAACCCATTAAAAACCAATTAATTACGCATTAATTACCCATTAAAAACCCACTAATTAACCACTAGTTATACATTAATTATCCATTAATTACATCAATTATCAATAACTTCCCCATTTATTGCCCGTCAATAGCCTACCGATTAATTACCCATTAATAACTCATTAATGACCCATTAATTACGTTAATACCACATAATAACCAATTAATAACGAAATAATTACCCTTTTGTAACCCATTAATTGCCAATTAATTACCTGTTAATATACCACTAATTACTCATTAAGAGCCCATTAACAACCCATTAGTTACGCATTAATAACCCTTCAATTACACGTTAATGACATTTTAATAAGGCATTAATTGTCCATAAATTACGCAATAATTACCAATTAGTTACCCATTAAGCAGCTATTAATAACCCATTATTGGACCATTATTGAACCATTAATGAACCATTAATTCTCAACTAATAACTTATTAATGTTCCATTAATTACAAATTAAGTCTCTATTAATTACCCATTAATAACCCATTCCCCCCACATTAATTACCCATTAATTACCCATTAATTACCCCTTCTTTTCCAGGGAACAACCGGATCCTGGCTCAGGAGCGTGAGTGCAATTCTTTCATTCATTAATTAATTCATTAATCGAAGAAGTGCAGGTCATTAATTAAGATCCCCAATTAAGGCTTCAGCCGGGATTTGGGGAGGTTTGAGGGGAGATTTTGGCCGTAATTGGAATTTTTAATTGAATTGAATTTTATTGTTTATTAAATTAATATTTATTAATTGATAAAATATTATTAGATATTTTGAATTAAATATGGATATTAAATAATATTTCTTTACAAAATATTATTATCTTTAAATAATATTAATTTATTTTAAAATGTTATTATTAAAACTTATTATTATTATTACTATTACTATTACTATTATTATTATCATCATTATTTTTACTATTATTATTTAAAATCAAGTAAAATGGAACAAAATAAAATAAAATAAAATAAAATTATATAAAATAAAGTAAAATTAAATTAAATTAAATTAAAATTAAATTAAAATTAAAATAAAATAAATTAATAATAAAATAAAACAAAACAAAATAAAATAAAAATTATTATCATCATCATCATTATCATTATTATCATTATTATAATTATTATTTAAAATCAAGTAAAATAAAATAAAATAAAATAAAATAAAATAAA